TTTAAGAAAGTGCCGGTCGCCAACAACCCCCAGACTGAGATCGCGTTGCNCGCGCCACCAGAGACGGACCTACCACGCGCAGCAGAACAGCTGAACCGGGCATGGCTCGGTATCACCGCAGCAACACTGGCTGAGACNCCGGACACGCAGCTGATGCAGGAAGCGACGTTCGAACAGGAAGTACGAAGTGCAGCTCGAGACCCAGCCGATTTTCAGCCAGGCCTCCCGCGAGCATGCAGCCCGTTATGGCGCCGCTACTTTGAACTTCACAACGGGACACGGTCACTAACTCGCAACCAGCGCCTGGTGCTAGCTTTCTTAGAGGAAGGAGTACGTTTCACCTGGGTTGGAACGCCCGGTCTGGGGCCCTCAGTTTCCCCACAGCGCCGCAAGAAGCACCGTATAGTCCTCCAAATGATCCGCCAAGCCATTGGCCGCGAGGTAGACCCAGCAACTTACCTCACCGGCAGAATGCCGCACGCCATCCAGTTTCCCAATCACCGCAGCACCAGCCTGCATAGCGCGTTCGTAACCTCCGAAATTCAGAAATGCTTGGACGTGGGGGTGATGCGCAAGTGGCCCTCAGCGTGGGGACCACCGACGGTCGTCAACGGCCTACGGGTGGTGGAAGGCAAGAAGCTGCGCCTATGCATGAATCCCATGTACCCTAACCTTTTCATGGAGATACCGCCGCTGAAATACGAACACATCTCGGACTTGCCAGGCTTTCTGCGAAAAGACGATTTCCTCTTCACAACGGACGACAAGAGCGGTTACTGGAACCTCCTGCTGCACCCGGACATGTACCGCTTCGCCGCCTTCGAATGGGAAGGCGACCTACACTACTGGCTCGTAATGGCGTTCGGCTTCGCCCCGGCCTGCTGGTTTACAGCTTGGTGAAGCGGGAGCTATTTCGACCGATGCGGGAGCGAGGCGTAGACCTGGCGTACTTAATCGACGACTGCGCGGTGGCAGCGAGGACACTCCCAGCTGCACAGCGCCTATGCCGAGCAGTCGTCGACCTCCTCACGGCGCTGGGTTTCACCCTGAGCCTTGAGAAATGCCAGCTGCGACCGTCCCACCGCGTCAAGTTCTTAGGCTTCATGGTCGACGCACAGCGCGAGGTTTTCGAAGTACCCGAGGAAAAAGTCCGCCAGCTGGCCGAATCGGTCGAGCTCTTGGAGACCGCGGGACCGGATTCAATCACAGCCAGGGAGGTGGCACGGGTGGCCGGCCGGATCATGGCCATGAGCCCGGCGGTGGCTACGGCGCCGCTCCACGCGCGTGTGGTTGGGCGGGCGGCAGCAGGAGCAGCACACTGGGATGAAGCGGTGGGGGACCCAGCCACTTTCCTGTCTAGGGCACGGCTCTTCCTAACCCTGCTGCGCCTCAAGAACGGTAAGACGTGGTGGCGACGCGGGCCAGCCCTGTTGCTCAGGGTGGCAGGGGACGCCTCTGAGAAAGCCTACGCCGCATACCTACCAGACCGTCAACTGGGAGACGGAGAAGCGAGTGAGATGCGAGTGCCGTTCACCCCGGAAGAGTCAGAGCGCATGGCCCGGGGGGAAATGTCCAGCACGGAACGAGAACTTCGCACAGTGGCGCTAGCGCTCGACTGGATTAAGTGTGAGGGTCCGCACTTACTAGCAGGAAGGTCGGTGCAGTATCACACCGACAGCCAGGCCGCAACCCTGTGTGTGCCAGGCATGAAAGGGCAGGGCCCGTGCCTGCAGCGAGTAGACGAGCTGTACATGAAGTGCGCGGAGTGGGACTTGGAGGTCCAGCTAGTCTGGCACCCCCGCTCGGAACAGCAACAGCAGTATGCAGACACGCTCTCCAAGTTCGAAGACAGCTCGCAGTGGTGTTTGACGACGCGGTGTCGCA